CCCGTTGTGGTTCGATCGCCCCGATACTGTCCACATGAACACATAAATGAGCTGCTGATGTCACTCCACGCACATCGGTGCACATTTACATTTGCAATCTAATCTACTCAAATATGGCCCACATACATAGTTAATTGCGCGCCGCCTGGTGCGATGCAACAGCGCCATCTTCTGTCCGGGAAAAAAACTGCAAGACTGCAGCAAATTGATCCGGTGTGAACAAGTGGTGCTCTTTGTTTCTGTTTTTCTTCTCCCGTCTGACTGATTCATCTGGATCACCAAACTGTTTCATCAGATCTACCCAACATGTCGATGATACGCGTGTGTGCGTGCAAGCTTCTGAGCTGACTGATAAAAACACACCCACATGCAGCACACGGCTGTGAGTTTTCCAGTTTTTTTTGTTTCAACGACATACAGAGGAAAAAAAACAGCCTCTTCCAGCCTACATGTTGGTTTCTTGCTCTACTTTCTCACCCGTTCCCTTTGATACTCACACCTTCCTAATTGAATCTCCTGCTAATTCCACCATCTTTTCTCAACTCATACTTCCCTCATCTCTGCTTTATTTCCCTTCCTCCCTCCCTCCTATGCATGTACTCTCCCACCCTCTGTGATGCTCGATCTCTGTCTGTCTCCTCATTCCTCCCCTGGCATCTCCCTCCACCTCTCCCTGCCTCTGCCTGACGTCATAGCAACCGCAGTGTAAGATTCAGGGCTTGCTTAACAGTGCCCATCATTCTGTCAAAAAAATGACAAAGACAGCCGGACCGATGAGCGGTAGTGGGGGGGGGAGAGGTGTCAGGAAGGCCACACCCACGTCCCCGTGTCATGTCGGGTGAATGCACTGTTTGGGCTATTTGGCCGGCGAGCTGTGGGCAAGGTCGGCGGCTTCAGCATTTTTAATGATGTGACTCAGTGTGGCGTGGTGCAGCAGACCGAGCATGCAGGCAGTGGAAGAGGCTTGGAAACAGAGCTGTGTGATGTTTCAGCAGGCGGAGGCAAAAGGGGAGAGACTGATGGGAGTGCAGAGAAAGTGAGAGAGAAAAGAGCAACTTTTGAATGTGGCAAAAGGATAGAATGGTTAAACCCCAACTGAGGCTTATTAGCATTTTAAAGGATTATTGGAACCTCAGTTAGGAGGCAACACATATTGACACACACATGAGAAATTAAAATGCAGTTTTGCTAAATTTTCAGCAAACAAGTGCCTCCTCCTGCCACGTATGACTCTTACCAGGGACGGGGGGATAGCTGATGGCACCGAGGTGAGAGTCAGGTCTCTGAATGCAGCGAGCACACAGCTGCAAAGATTTAATATACAGGTGGGTGTTGGGAGATGGAGGAACGGAGGCTTGTGGGAATTGTAATGGAAGAAACAAACAACGCTGCTGCACAGTCTTCATACCGGAGGCTGAGCTGTGTGTGAGGACAGTTTACGTCCTCGAAACAACACAGCTGAAGGAGAATTATTACAGATACAGAACGTTATGAGGAGTTAGGGATGACACAGGAGGAGTGAGACAAAATATCACAATAAATAAAGACAGTTATTAGACGCCATCCAAGTAACAGGTGAATGTTATATGATTTTGAGGCTCACTGATGCTAAATAAAAACATGATAACATTAGAATCAGACACTTGGGCACCAAAACTGAGCGAACAAATCTTTTCAACAATTTCTACGTACATGAAGATGATGGAAAAGAATAGCCGGCCATATAGCAACATAACTTCTGAACGTATTAGGATCTGTTACTGCAGATGGACTCAAAGATATCCTGCCAGATTAAGACCAGCTCAGACATATTTTGCTTTTTTATGCTCTTTCATTTCTTATCTGGTTATAAATCCAGCTGGTGACAGTCAGAGTTACATGATCAACTCTTGTCTGGTTCCTTTCATTTTTTTATATTTATAATAAAGGACCAGACAGCAGGAGCCCCGACTGCACTGATCTCTGCCGTTTGTCTGGAACGTTGTGAACAAACAGCCGGATTAAACAACAGACACAGCTAAACCAGGATCGTCACCGTTTACCGTCACGTGCCGACGGTGTGGAGTCAGACCTCTTCTGAATGTAAAACTCTAAGAGTTAATAACCACTCAGGTTATAGAAAAATAAAGCAAAAGTAAGTCTGTGTTTCTGTAAGACAACATAGAATAAAATCTATCAGGCAAATTACCACGACCTGACACTAGTTTACTACAATCAGAAAAATAGATGAAAATTGAAAAGGTGGAAAACAATACCTGAAACAATTAATACGACGGCTACTCAGCAATCACAATTACTCCAGCAACATTTGTTATGTATAGGTTTATTTAGATTAAAAATAAATCTAAGGAAGGTGACAGTTTAAATGAAAAACTTCTTCTTCTTCTTTTTTCTTTTTTTACATTTATTGTTTATTTATTGATTAAAAAAAAAAACACTGAAAGGGCAAAACAGATGAATTAAAGTTGACATAATTGTAAATTATTTTCTAAAATGAATAAATAAACAAGACAAGGATCCACAATGACATAAATAAACAGGAAAATAAATAATTAGGCAGCTGATAAATAAATATTGTCACTACCGGAAGAAACAGACGGATACTTAGACTCTTTGTTTGTCAGAAACTCAGAAATATCAAGACTCACCGACAGAATCAGATATTAAAGATGGGAATAATCCAGACAGTGAATTAAACTGATTAAATATGATTAAATGGATATTACCCTATAATTTGAATAACAAATATAACTTATTACTAGAGCAGACAGGAGCAGAGTGATGGAGTAAATATTAAGTTTTGTAATTAATTTCATGTTCAACTGATTAATTAAATGATGATGAAAATAAAAAAATAATAATAAAAAAAAGAGAGACATCTTGTGGCGTGATCATGTAAAAACACAGATGACATCAGTCAGCAGTGACACAGCTGAGAGGTTGCTTTCAGTGATTTAATATTTCCTGTGACTAGTTTAAATAACTTAAAATCAGCACAGTGTATAGAACAGCAGGTTTAAGCAGCTCACCTCAGACAAAATCACCTCAGTGAGCTCTGCAGTGTCACAATCTGTCATCCTGCTGGACACACCCAGGAGAGTCAACAACCTTTTGGCCTGCAGAGTCCTTCTGTCCAAACACTCTACAGGGAACAAAGAGAGAACCACAGTTCCTTTGTTTGATACCTTGAAAACAATGGACATGCCAAGATAGTGCATGTGTGCTGCAGAGTAGTCACTTCAGCTACTGTCGCCTGCTGTACTTTATTCATCTGACAAGTTGCTGGTGGTGATATTTTTGGTTTGACCTGAAACTTCATGTGTTTTTTTTTATCTCCTTTACACATAAAATAAATCATCCATCCATCCACCCCATCGTCTGTAACAAATAAGTAGCTGGATCCTGTGGTAATAAATGTGCACTCCACATCAGCTTTGTTCAAGACGATTGGTATTGATACACTATTAATAATACCATCCTTCTACTACTACTACTACTACTACTATTACTACTACTACTACTACTGCTGCTACTATATATATATATATATATATATATATATATATATATATATATATATATATATATATATATATTATTTGGAGCATGTATTTTTAAGTAAAAAGAAAAGAAAAGAAAGAACAAAAAACCCTAATAGAATTAATGCACTATTATTAATACCAAAAGCCTGCCTATTTATTTATTTATTTATTTATTTATTTATTGGAGCATGCATGTTCAAGAAAAAAAAATTTTTTAATAAAAAGTTGAACATCATATACTAAAAGTGAGACACACCATTTTTTTTCATTAAAAAACAACAGGTTATTGGTAAAAAAAAAAAAAGAAGAAAAAAAAAATAGACTATTAGCATCAATATTTTTTTAACCAATAGCCTACCCATAGTAAAAAATACAATTTTTAAAATGTGTTTAAATTTTGGAGCATGCACATTCACCTAAAAATAAAAAATAAAAACCTTTCAGTGAAAAGTGAAACACACTGATTTTTTAATTTAAAACCCCCCAAAACAACAGACTATTGGAAAAACTCTATTAGTATTACTACTGGCTTTTTTTTCTTCTTTTTTTTAACCAAAAGCCGAACAATGATAATAAAATAATATATTATTTATATATTGAAGCATGCGCATTCAAGTTAAAAAAATAAAACTTTCAATGAAATGTTGATGATCATATATTAAAGGGAGACACACCAGTTTTGCCATAAACACAGAGTACGATAAAAAAAAAGGACTAATATAACTAATATACTATTATTAATACCAATAACCTACCAATAATAATAACAATATTATTTTTATACATTGTAGCATGCATGTTCAAATAAAAAAATAGTTTATAAAAATCAGTGAAATGTTGATCATATATTTTAAAAAGTGAAACACAAGTCTGGCCAAAAAAAAACAAAAAACCAACACAATAAACCTGTATGTCACCAGCAGGTCTATTAGTATTCATACACTATTAATATTATAATTACCCTACCAATAATAATAAGAATAATAGGTCATTTGTATATTGGAGCATGTATATTCAAGTTAGGAAAAAAAATAAAAAAACTCCTTTAATGAAATGGTTAAAACCACATAATAAAGATGAGACACACCAGTTTGTTACCTGTAGTTCATCAGCAGCTGTGAGTCAAAAGCGTGTCATTTAGTGAATACATGCAGTAAAAACATCAGCATGGACGTTTAATAACCAGCTGTTGGTGCTCAAGGGTCTGATTTTATTCCATATGATGATTTCTTGCCGTGGAGAATCGTGACTGGCTGCTTTCTGAATGAGGTAAGAGACGAGAAAGTGAATGAATGAATGAATGGAACGAGCGGACTGGAACGTCGTCCGCCTGCGTCACCGAGTCCACCGCGGAGGGATACGCGTCGCCCCAGCGCTGTAGTTCCGGGATCTGGGACTACTTCTCGGGATGGAGCAGAGGATAGGGGGGGAAAATCGTAACGGGCGCAAGAACACCAGGGAGCCGCACGTCGCCGCTAGCAGGTGCACACAGCGTAGAGGAAATCATAAATACGAGGCGGAAGATGGCGTAGCATATGGTGTTCTCCCCCCCGTTTCTATCCACGGAAGGCAGCTCCGGAACAAACCGCAACCTTGAGCTTTTCGCTGGAACAATGTCGCGGTAAGTTGAGCTCAGCAGCCGCTCCGCTGTTGTGTGGAACTATTAGCTTAAAGCTAAATGTAGCACGTAGGGCTAACAGCTGACAAGTCAATACAGGGACGTTTCGTTTATCAGCAGTCGGCCTGCACGTTTTATTTAGCTATTAGCAATTGTTCGTAAATTTATAAGTAGTGGAAGATGTGGCTGTAAAAAAAAAAGAAAAAAAAAAAGGTACTATTTTATCGCCCTGTAGCTGCACCAGACGTCAGCAGGGGTCTTGACGTAACGTTAAATTAGCTCCTCTCTTTCCAATGTTTTGCTTTTTAAAGCGCTTTTAAGTAAAAGTAAGCAAAGAATACTTGAACATATCGAGCAGTTTTCTGTGTTTATATCACACGTGGGTCACACGTTAGCCTTTCAGCATGCCTTTTTGGCTCAAATGACTGTTTTAATGACACTTATAATGCAAATAAATCATGCATTTTGTATAGAAATACAGTTATGTTCAAATAAACATACTCTGTAATGTTGTGATCTTTAGCCAGTCATACTGAATACAGAGGAGTCACTTGTTGCTGTATGTATAACCTAAATATAGCTCTTCTGTGCAATATAACCCAATAATCCCCAAGCAACCCCCTATATGCTTCTTATTATTTCTATTTTTACACTATGCTTAGACTTTTTAATGCTTATTTGCACAATTTTGCACCTTATTTCTTCTCCAAACAAGATTTTTTTTTTGCACATCCCATATTTTTCTTAAATGTCACATGTGTGAGCTCCTGGATGTCTTGAATTTCCCCTTGAATGAGTGAAATGTCTATCTGAATTAAGCTTTAATACTGCAGCCAGCTTTAACGCAGGATAATCAAAAGCTGTGTGCCATCACAGAGCTCATGCAGACTGAAAAGCAGCTCATTTACAGGGCTTTTCCCAGCATCTCCATATTCCCCTGCTGCTCTTGACAAAGCGGCGTTCCTGCTCATCACACTGACACACGCCTCGGTGTGTAATCGAGGCCGTGAGATGTGACGCGTGTGAGGAAGCCAGAAGAACGAGACAGTCTGCCAACGAGGCCCGACCGACCGACCGTCTATCATGATGCAGCCGGTGCTCACTTGGCGGGGCACACGGCGGTAATGATCTGACATACATGGCTGTGTAGGCAGAGGGGAGCATGAGTCACCGGTGTTGTGGCTGCTGCTGCTGCTGCTGCTGCTGCTGCTGTGAGGAACAACTGGAGGTGGAGGTGCAACGTGAAGGGGAGGGCGGCGTCGGGCCAGCACGCTGCCAGGACAACGCAAAACTATTTTATCACAGGAAAAAATAAAGAACCGGCCGCGCTGTTGTGAAAGAGTCGGTTGCTGTGCACACACGCCTGCCTCGTCTGTGCAGCAGGATGTAACACGCTGCTGTTCTTGCAGCAGGGTGTTGACCGGTGTGTGCAAACACAAGCGAGCGCAGCCACTCCTAGACAATAGAAAAGATGTTCTAGTGCAGAGTGAGAAGAAAAGAGTCCCTGTTGGAGGCTCAGCCAAGTCCTCTGACAAGTCACAAGAAGATGACAGTAACTAGATTACCCTAATGTTATCATATGTACTTTCAGTCAGTTAGCAGCGGTAACTCTAATGAATGGAGTTAGATTTTTCCAGGCACCTCGGTGTTATTGAGTTAGTGCAAGAAACATGAGGTCTTTATTTACTGTTAAATGCTGCTGTCTCGCCCGTCGTTGCTCATGTGTTTTGAAGGCTGCCCTGTTTAAATGAGTGCCTCTAATCTGCGTTGGGTGTAACGCGTACTGTAAAATCAGACAAGTTTGTCTCTCTACTAGGGTTGGTGTCCCTTTGGCATCTCTGTTTTTATTCGGTTATTGTGTAGAAAGTTGTAAATGAATAATAAGGACTGCATTATGGCCAAGTGGGATGTTTACATCATGTTTTGGAGTAATAATGTGAAGAACTGAACATTTTCTCGGCTGGTTGCTGATATGTTGATTTTATAGAATTACTAAACTCCTGATAGATGACTTTGTTTAGTTGTTAAAGTGTAGAAAAGTACAATTTTATGATTATATATTGAAAAATCTCTTATTTTACAGAAATAATGTATACACGCATGACCAAACTTGCAGTTTCTTAAACATTGTGCTGCAATTTATTTCCTCATATCTGCAAACATACGTCCACTGTTGTGTCTGAGAGCCTGACGTCTGCAGAAAATACTGTTTCTCCTCCGTTCTTACCAAATAAAGTGTTCAGTGGGTGATACAACTCCAGGGTCATTTAAACTCCAACACCAAAGGATAACCACATGTTGGCAATCAGATAAGGAACAATAAATGAGCTACTTTGACTCCAAAAATGAGGATTCAGATTGAGAAAAACATTTCTTTTTCCGTTGCTTCGGTGAATAAAATGCCAGATCTTAACGCGATTAATTGTTGTGGGTGTAAGTCGGCGCTTCCTTTCGCAGCAGAGTTCCACTATCAGCGTGTGTAATAGTTTGCAGGCGGGTTTCTATGTTCTGTAATGTTGGTTTTCTTGGCAGGTGATTAAACTGGTAATGTTCTTGTCAGGGAGTACCTCTAAAATCCCAGTGCTCCCCTGAGCTACACACACACAGCTGCCCTGAAAGCACTTGGCCGTCCTCCAGACCTCAAATTGATTTCTCATCTCTCTTAAGTCTTAAATCCCCCTTCAGATGCCGCAAGCCTGCTGCTAGAATGAATCATGTTGGCAGGCGGTTTGCATGCTGGTGAGCCTCTTTTGCAGGTTATGGTTGTTAGACTGTTGCGTCTGCTGGTGTGTGTTTTGTGTGTGGTTTACGGGCGCTTGCGTTCCAAATGCACACTGATATTGTGTGTTTGTATGTAGTGGGACCCTTTACATGTTTGGATGTTGTGTAGGAAGAAACTGAGAAACTCGTTGAGCACGAGTACATTTGTTGTGCGTGTCTTTAGATGTGCATCCTTTGGCTCCGACTTGCGGCTTTAATATATACGTTTATATGATGGCGGAGCAATTAAATGATTTAAAATGAAACAGAAAAAACAACAGCTTGACACAATGCATTGGCTAATTGCAAAGATGAGATGTGGTGAGAAACTAATGCTGTCATTTCATTTAAACAGATTTAAACTTGCAGGTGTTGTCGCTTATCAGTTCATGCTGTGTGATTCAGGCTGTGATTTGACTCACCGTCCATCCATCATCTATGCACCGCTTAGTCCTCACTCGGGTCATGGGGGGTTGGAGTCTATCCAGCGAAGACAGGTTCACCTGGACAGGTAACCAGTCTATCACAGGGCTACACTTGGAGACAGACAACCAAGCACACTCACATTCACACCTACGGACAATTTAGAATCACCAATTAACCTCAGCATGTTTCTGGATTGTGGGAGGAAGCCGGAGAACCTGGAGAGAACCCACGCTGCACGGGGAGAACATGGAGACTCCACGCAGAGTCCCCTTACTGGGACGCGAACCAGCGACCTTCTTGCTACGAGGCAACAGTGCTAACCACTGCTCCCACTGCAGCCCTTGACTAACCGTAGCCTCATTATTTAAGAGCCACACCTCGTATATTTTGCAGCATCTCTTTTCACGTTTAAGCCGTCGTGTCCGTGGTTACGCTTCTGATGGTGTCGTGTGTGGTAGCTCTCCATCGTGTGCTTTCAGTCTATTACACAGTGACTATTCAACTGAAGCTTGACTTAAAAATATTATATCGTAAATCAAACCACAATTCGACATCTTCTGCCACATATTATTCAGCTCTATTTTGTATTATGCAGCACATATCGTTCATAGCTGTGCAGTTTAGTGCTCATCCAAGATATCGGACTGAGTGGAATTTGTATAAAATGTGTGTTATTTGATTTTGTAGCTAATCTTAACAACATTGTCAAGCATTAAAATGAAGAGATGAGGAAGCATTTTGAATTGGCAGCTGTTTTTATTTATTGGCAGACGACATGTGCAACCCGTTCCACTCCCTCTGTTGGCGATACGACTAAAACCAGAGCAGCCTTTGATTCATTATTGGAAACAGTGTAGTAATGAAAATACGAATAAAAGCTGAACGTGCAGGAACTACCAAATTAGAAAACGGAAATGTGCTGAGGCAGCGAAAATCCATTTGTCAATTTGGTTCACCTTTAGGCAAGAAGGGTCTCTACCCAAAAAGTATTAGCTCCTGTTGGCTGCTTATGAAAATCATTGAATTTCTGATGAGGTTGAAGCATTTTGTCCTTAGAAGACACCCGGAAAACTGCAACTCTGTCATGTTTTTAGAAACCCGGTAGACCTGCTGGCAAGTGAAGCCATTTTAGCTGCATGTAGAGAAACTGTCTCTGGAGTTTTGTGTCTATCTCAATAGGGAGAACTAATTAGGCTATTTTGAGTGATTATCGTCTCGTAACGATAACCAGGAACTGGAAAGGCTGAGCAGTGGCTTCGATGCCACAGAGTGCGTCAGTAGTGCTGCACAGGGCTGGGCCACGTCAGGATTCATGCCAATACTGTTATCTACGGTTCTGATTAATAAAGTGGTGAAACTCTCTGAAAAGTACTCATGAATAAGATTAAAGTTACACAGAGAAAAAGCTTTTCACTAAATGAAAACATGTGAGTAGTGACTGGACTGCTCTAAAAATAGAGCAAATACACAAAGTTAAATAAGACAAATAGCCTCTGGTGAGCACAGCAGTCATATGGCAACGAAAAGAGACACAAGAACGTCCCTTCTCTCTCTCTCTCTCTCTCTCTCTCTCCCTCGGTATCTCTTCCTCTCTTGCTTTTTTGTTTGGAGTCTGCTAGAAGTCATGCCAGAGGAAGGAGTGTTGCACAATTTGTTGGACTCTCGGTTTCTTCGCTGAAAAGGTACCGGTGTCGTTTTTGATGACAGGCACAAGCTTGAGGTTGGAATGGATTTAGAGAAGATGCGTTATAAGACCATGAAAGGAGTAGAAGGAGCTGATAAAGTGGCAGACTGTATCAGACATTGTATGTGATTTGGTGTTGCTCTGCCGCCGTGTTTTTGATGCAGACGAATCCACCGATTTATTAAGTTAAACAGACTCTTTAATTCCAAGAGCGACGCTACGTCTCAGCGCTCTCCCTCAACCACACCGAGCGCTGTCACTCGTGTCTTTCTGAAGGACGCGTCTACTCGCTGTTTGGATGAACCGAATATTAAATTACCAACTTCTTCTCTTCCTGTGTTTGTTCTTTTCTGCAGAGTGACTATCAGCTGACCTGCTTTCTCCAGAGTGACTGCAATCTCTGCACACTGAAGCCATTCACTCCATCAACAAAATGTCAGGTAGAGATTCGCTAAGTTTACATTTTAACACAGGGTCTAAATACAAGGCCCTTCGTAGAGGCTTTTAATGCATTATACTGTGTTTTTCTGTTGCTAATGTATGATTCTTCTTGCGTCAGGCACCTACACACCAGCCCCTGGTGGGCCTTTCTCTGCTCTCACCCCAAGCATGTGGCCGCAGGACATTCTGGCCAAGTACCATCAAGTGAGAATATACGTTTATATATTGTCATAAAGAAAATAAGATTTACACGCTGTGACACATCTGCAAAATGTTTTCATGTTACACTGATATCTGCTTTTTTTTTTAATGTCTCTACAGAAGGACTCCTCAGAGCAGCCTGAGCTCCAGTACGATGAGTTCGGCTTCAGAATCGACACCGAGGGTATTTTGTTCAGACACACACTTTTTAAACACTGCTACAGTTTCTGAATCTCAGTGGAGATCTGGGGATAGATGCTACACACACACCGATCACACGTTGCATGTGACTTCAGAGTTGCTCTCTCACTTTTTTAATTTTTTTTTTCCATGCCGACTTCAGTTGAAGCATTAGTGTTTGTTTTTTTTTCTGTTTTCCAGCCTCCCTCTCCGTTATTAAATCACCCAATGTTCCGTCAGGCAGCAGCTTATTTTCGAAATTCATCTAATTGTCGACAGCTTTAATGCTGCCTTTTGTTTTTGCGTCAACATTCACATAACGAGTACAGTGCATGCCTTCAATTAGGGGAGTTCTGATTTTGGTTTTAACCACTTCCTCATGTGTTTTCACTTTCTAAGTAATGTTCCTCTTTGCTGCCATGCCTCCATCATGCTAGCTGACACTCAAATTTCAACTCAATTTTATTCACTTTTCCATCTTTCTTAATTTAAGAAGGTGCTTGGTACTGACCAGCGTTAATGTAAAGACAAACACTGCTAAAGCCGGATCTGTTATCTTCTCCCAGATGGGGAAGAGCCCAAGTCCTGTCTGGGCATCGAGGGGTCCCCCCAGCGTGAAGACCCCCAGCAGCGACTGCGCTGGCAAGCCCACCTGGAGTTCACCCACAACCACACGGTGGGAGACCTGACCTGGGAGCTCATCGATCCCGTCCTTCCACGCTCAGAGCGCCTGCGCTCCCTGGTTCTAGGTGGAATACCTCACAGCATGAGGCCACAGGTAACCAGAGCATCACACAGAACGGCTTGTAGCATTGCCTCCAAGTGGGACGCAGTGTTGTTTTTTGTTGCAAAAAAAGAATCACTGAATGAGAATGAAAGCTGTTTCTGTCTCCAAGGATGCAAAATAAATTTTAATGATGCTCTCTCTGTTAGCTCTGGATGCGTCTGTCTGGAGCGCTGCAAAAGAAGAGGACCTCTGAGATCTCCTACAGAGAAATCATCAAGAACAGCTCTAATGATGACACCTCTACAGCTAAACAGGTAAAAACCCCAGACATCTGTGCACAAAAAACGTATTTGATAGCTGTTAAGGTACAAATAGTACTGTCGGAAGTCCAAGAATCGACGTTAACATATTCAGAAATAATTACTTTCACTTACAACTGATTAAAACTAAATACATTCTAGAGATTAGATTGGTAGGAATGGGCTCCTCACATTGCAATTTTTATATTTTTCCCTCTACCTCCTCTCCCTAATCGTCCTTAGTCTTCTTTAAAATAATCATCCATTGTTCACCTGTGTCCCTCAGATAGAGAAGGACCTGTTACGGACGATGCCAACCAACGCGTGTTTCAGTAATCTGGCCAGTGTTGGAGTGCCACGACTGAGACGGGTCCTGAGAGGCCTGGCCTGGCTCTACCCAGACATCGGCTACTGTCAGGGCACTGGCATGGTGAGTAAGTTCACTCTCACCTGCAGTTTCTTAACACTGTGTACTTGTTGTAACACCTCCTTTTTACTCTTCCCATCTTCCAGGTGGTGTCCTGTCTGCTGCTCTTCCTCGAGGAGGAGGACGCGCTGTGGATGATGTGCGCCCTCATCGAAGACCTGCTTCCTCCGTCCTACTTCTCCTCCACTCTGCTGGGCGTCCAAACGGACCAGAGGGTTCTCCGTCAGCTCATCGTTCAGTACCTGCCGGCCCTCGACCGCCTCCTGCAGGAGCACGACATAGGTACTGATCAGGAAGGATGGTGGGGAGTTGATAGATGTTAACAAAAAAAAATTAATCTGACATGTTTTGGTGAATTACAACGTCTGAATTGAATTGCATACCAACTTATTGCATATAACATCCTCCTTCTCCAGAGTTGTCGCTGATCACGCTGCACTGGTTCCTCACGTCGTTTGCCAGCGTGGTGGACATCCGTCTGCTCCTCAGGATCTGGGATCTGCTCTTCTATCAAGGCTCACTGGTGCTCTTCCAGGTCACACTGGGCATGCTCAAGATTAAGGTAGCTGCTCCCAAACCTATGTTCCTCAATCTTAATCTACAGGCTGATTATAATTTACAAAATGCTGAGATGCTTCATAGTTATTTTGTTGTCTCAGTCACTCAGTTTGTGAAGCCGCATATTAGATTTTTTTTATGGATGATGAGGAAGTAATGTCAGAACAGAAACCATCCCCACACCGATGATTCTTACCACTGAAATTCGCTTCCTGACTCCAGGAGGAGGAGCTCGTGTCGTCGGAGAACTCCGCATCCATTTTCAACACTCTGTCAGACTTGCCGAGCCAGCTGAAAGACGGGCCGGCGGTTCTCGGGGAGGCGATGAGGCTAGCAGGGACGCTTTCCCAGGAAACTCTGGAGGCTCACCGACACAAACATCTCGCCTATATACTGAATGAACAGGCGCAGCTCAACAATGGGAACAACACAACGCTCAACACTAACCTCAACAAGGTCAGTTGCTTTGGTCTTTGCAAAGCTAATGTGCTGAAATGTCGGTTATTTTGTCAGAGGCTAAACAAATGATGTAGTGTGTGTTTTAGCTTTGGAGGTGTACGTGTCTACTCTTAAAGCTTTTGATAAAAAGAGCAAAGTATTCATCCCGTGTTCGTATACGTTCAGGTGGTGAGGAGACAGTCTCTGCGCAGGAAATCCACCCTGAGCTCCTTGCTGTTTGGGGAGGACGAGGCAGAAGCGCTGAAGTCAAAGAACATTAAGCAGACAGAGTTGGTGGCTGCCCTGAGAGAAGCCATAGCTCGCACTGCAGAGCACTTCCACTGCCTGGACCCGCGTCACTCCAGCACCGTGGGTTCACACACTGCAGTGTTTCTATCGTATTGTCAACTATGAACCAGCTAAAAAATAAGAGGAGGGATTCTCTCATTTGCTGGCATATCAGCCCAAATGGTTTAGCTCTTAAATGTGTGATCCATTTACTGTAGATACCCCCATTAATTCTGACCTCACTCGTCTCTCCAGGACCTGACTCCAGACTACTCCATGGAGAGCCACCAGCGAGATCACGAGAACTTTCTCGTGGTGTCTCGAAACCGGCGAAGACGGGCGAAGGCGTTGCTGGACTTTGAGCGCCACGACGACGATGAATTGGGCTTCAGGAAGAACGACATCATCACCGTGAGTCGCTGTTTACACACAAACAGAACGCGTCTCATCGTTTACACCCACATGTCACCTTCACTCATTTTTATCTTTCTCCTCAGATCATCTCACAAAAAGATGAGCACTGCTGGGTCGGTGAGCTCAACGGCCTCAGAGGTGTGTGCTCTCAGTTGCTGCTGTTTGGATCAGTTATTTGTTTTATCGTTTGTTTCACAAGATGCATTTTCTGTTTGTGACAGGTTGGTTTCCAGCAAAGTTCGTGGAGATTCTAGACGAAAGAAGCAAAGAGGTGCCGACGCATTTACATTTTTAAATCGTCTGAGTCGCGCAGCAAATGTTTCTTGCTGTGTCATGTATTATTTGTAAGCCTTGAGCATTAATTCAACACCGGCTGTCGTGTCTGTCCCCAGTACTCACTAGCAGGTGATGACTCCGTGACAGAGGCGGTGACGGATCTGGCCAGAGGCACTTTGTGTCCAGCTCTGAAAGCCATCTTTCAGCACGGTCTCAAGAAGCCGTCTATACTGGGAGGGCCCTGTCACCCGTGGCTATTCATCGAGGAGGTGGGAGAGCTTGTTATAATTCATCATGGCACCGCGGTTCACACAGTTCGCATCAATTTCCAACATCATTCTCTTTCTGCTTCCCTTTCAGGCAGCCAGTAGGGAGGTCGAGAGGGACTTCAACTCGGTCTACTCGAGACTGGTGCTGTGTAAAACCTACAGGTACAAACGCACACAGTGTCTTTGTGGGGTTTTTTTGTTTTGTCTAAATTTCTGCTCAGTCAAGAATTTAATGTGCTCGATTTGCAATGGATGGAAACCAAGATGAGATGTTTACCTCCCGCTAGGAAAATAAATAAGGATCTCATTGTTGTCTGCATTTATGAGAGAGTTTCTAGCAGTACACTGTCATAAGTAGCAGCTCATTATCTTTGGTATTTAACAGGTTGGATGAAGATGGGAAAGTTCTAACACCAGAGGAGCTGCTATACAGAGTGAGTACACATTTAATCTACTTGTTTGGGGGGAAAAAGTCATTTTAGCTCTCATAAATGTAGGAATGAATCTGAAGGTTACGTTCAGACTTCAGGCAAAATGGCCCAAATGTTTTGAAAAATACATTTACTTGTTGCTCACATGTGACACAGATCTGTTTTTTATATACCAGTGTGAACACTTCAAAATGAGCTACTAAAATCAGATACAGCTATGATTTTTCTTTGCAGTGTAATCTGAATATCTGAACTCAGTGTTTTACCAGGAGAGTTTTGTGGAGAGTTGTTGACAGACACAAGATTACTTTCATCAGCAAATGCCGTGGCAGCATCAAACTTCATCTGGATGATTCTCGGGGAATGATGGGACACCGATGCCAAGAGTCGGAGATGTTTCCGATCGACTTGGATAAATTCTGTTAGCTTCTAATTCCTAAAGCACAAAGAGTGACTTAGAACAAAAATCTAACGATTAGTCACTACTTGAAAACTCTTACTGTACTATAAACTGTTTTCCATTAAAAGTAATCTCTGACATCCTGATATTTTAGCCAAAATCTGTTTGAGTGAAGTCCTTTCCAGACCAAAAAAAAAAGAAGCCATAATTACAAATGTCACTCACAAATTCGCCGGCTTCCACTGCACATCAGCTGACTTAATGTGTTCACAAGTTTCATGTGACATCTTTGTTCTTGTTGTTTTGTGCAATGACCAGTTCACACTGGAGTCTGATGGCGGCCACATTATAAGATATGATGCCAACAACCAAACAAAATACATACATCAAAGCAATAAGTCCAAATTTGGCACTATGGCTTCCAGCCTGACCTGCAGCCTACGATGTTCTCAGTTATTTATGACCTCCAGTCATAAGTATACCAGTCTTGTCACTTTAATGAGGCCTGGATTACCTTGAGCCTGAAGCAATGAACAAAAGTAGGAAACCCACGAGCGCCCTCTGTTGGCTCTTCCCAGGCGGTGCAGTCGGTCAACATGAGCCACGACTCGGCACACGCTCAGATGGACGTCAAATTCAGATCGCTCGTCTGCGTCGGCCTCAAGTAAGTTTTCTTCAAGTGATCAGACCGTTCAGTTCTGCGAGTAAACGCGCTCGCTTTGTCAGGCCTGTTTCCTAACATGCCCGTCTCTCCAGTGAACAGGTGCTGCACCTGTGGTTGGAGGTGTTGTGCTCCAGCATGGCTGCCGTGGAGAAATGGTATCACCCGTGGTCGTTCCTCCGTAGTCCTGGATGGGTGCAGATCAAGTGTGAGCTCAGGTAAGAAAACCCACCTTACAAATTAAGGAGGTTAAACTGCTTTCAACCACTATTTTCCACATTTACCATCCAGAATTCAGCAGTGAAAATATCAAAGAATGTGTCAAAGAGCCATAAAGAACAAAAAATAAACAAAAAGGCAAGTTGTGTGTTAATGAGGACACACAATCAGGCCAATAAAACTAACAATAACCACTGCTTTCTGTCTTCTCAGGGTCCTATCAAAGTTTGCCTTCAGTCTCTCCCAAGATTGCGAGCTACCCGACAAGAAAGAGGTGAGCCGAGGAGATCAAGTGTGACTAATCGAAAACAACATGTTAGAACTCAGGAGAGAACAACTTTATGACTTTATGCCGTTTCAGAAATCTCCTATTCAGAAAGCGGAAGTTATGGATGTGCTGGTTCAGCATCACCTCTTTAGTTGGGACATCTAGGTAACGTGACGAGACCGTCGGCACTGTAGTCACGAGTTAGACGCCTTCGCTGTTCAGATTTAGTTACCTTGTTGCACGCTTCCTGTTTGGATTGAGTTTTAAAAGGAAAAGCTGGTAGGATCGCCCTGCTTCCTGTAGGTCTTTAATACACGTTGACGTGATGGTTAAATCCCTGTAGCTGCTCCTGTCTTCGCTAGAATAGAGAAAATCCCTGATAATGCCTGTGCTTTTTCTGCTGTAACGAGTCCAGTGCACATCATTAGTTACCACATGACAGAAAACTAAAAACCTCTGGCCAGACTCCAGATGTCAAAGCATTTTCTTGCATCGTCAGAAAAAGTCCCTCCTTTTTCAGAAATGTCTCATTGGCGTTTGGTCAGAAGGTTAAAACCGTGCGGCGGAGCTGCTCTGTGTAATGCACTATTGATTTTTGCCTTTAAGTAAAAGCCTTTCCACGTTTCATCCGTTTCCCAGGAGAAGGAGCAGAAGCCGCTCAAAGAAGGAGTGCAGGACATGCTGGTGAAACATCACCTCTTCAGCTGGGACATAGACGGCTAGAATCCTCCCCAGTGTTCCTGTAGATTTGATGTTTCCTCACCTTTTTGTTACGTCGGCTAAAGGACTGTCATCTTTGGAGAATGGTAACACCCAAAAGTAATGACTGAAACCCATCATGAAGTGCAACTGGCTTGTGTGTGCTGAAGCATGTGTACATTGTAGTGCATACTTTATTTTTTTTGTGCATACTAGTGTCGGAGTTTCACTACAAGGTTCAATAAACGACATGTGAAGCACTCCTGTAGTACAGAATAGTCTGTACCTGTACAAGTTGTGTCCAAACTGTAAGTATTCCTTCTTGGGTATTCAGAGTCCCGGGAGACGTTTCTGTAAAGTCCCCAAATTTAAAGACCAAAAAAATAGAACATTCCTGCACATGAAGCTGTAAAGTTCCACACTATTTTTGAGAGGAATGGTGCTTACCTCAACATCCTGAACTCCATAATCTTATTTCATGAAACACTCACGTTGCACATGCCGAGTAAAGCCTTTTTCAGGTTGCGATGGAGTAAGTGTGCTACCCCGACACAGTGGTAGCCAACAGCCTGCACTTGTAAGATATGATGTACATGAAGCAGATGATTTGTGTTACATAAATACATGTTACAAAATATATATATATATATATAATCTATAACTTGTAATGTTTTGGTTCTTTTTGTATATAAACACATTAGTTTGTTTTCACTAAATGTCCCGTCGCAGGTTAAAGCAGACTTCAAAGTGCATTTACATACGAAAACAGAAGCTACAGTCGTCCTCAAACGTATTCACAACCTTCCATTAAAGAAAAACTCACAACAGTCACTCAAATAACTAGAAACTGAAAAAAGTAATAATAAATAAAAATTTGCTAAATTATAATTTAGTGAAATAAGACGTTGCTTTTGAATTGTGGTTGAAAGGGATAATTTAAAAAAACAAAACTGTCTAATTGTAGCACTTTGCTGATGAGCAGTGGTCCAGAATACCTGTCAACAGGTGCACAAGTCTGACTGAGAGTTACAGGAAACACCTGATGATGGCAGTGATTGGCTCAGAGGGTTGTTCAGCTACATGTTAGTTTATGGCTCCCATCATGCTTGTTTGCTTATTTTTTTTTTAATATTTCTGTTGAACCACAATTCCAAAGCAACGTCATGGTGTTCATTAAATTTTTATTTATTATTACTTTTGTCAATTTCAGCTTATTTCAGTGATGTTTTCCAGTCTTTAATGGGAGGTTGTGAATACATCTGAGGACGACTTTATATTATATTGATATTCCTCAACAAGAAATGATGTTTGCTTGTTATATTTTTTAGGACATTTTGTTTTTCGGACAGCGCTGTTGTTGTTTCGGTTGTTACTCCTGCCAAGCTGATTCCATCTTTAACTGTAATTTCAGTTAAGGTTTGTTTTTTACTTCCACTAGTATGTGTAATTCTCCTGTGTGCAGAAAACAAAACCAACTCGGTTTCTGGGTTTCCTTGACTGTAGCTGTTCTATCAAACTTGAAGCTTCTGGTGTCTGCTCAGAGACGACTTCCCACCTGTGACGTATGACACTACTGATGAAACCTCAGCACTCTCCTGTATATAAACTGACAACACGCTGAACCCGTCCCTCCTGCTGTCGAATCATTCCAAATGTGTTTTCACTCGCGTCACATGTAGTGAGATTAAGAGGAAAAATGCACATAAATAAGCAGCACTGTTGAAAAGTTCAGTAAAGTGTGTTTATTCATGGTCTGGGGTTGTTTTTTTTTTTTATTATTATTATTATTTTGTGGCAAAGTGTTTTAAAATGTCACAACATGGTAACAGCGACAGGCCATAACGCATGAAGTACTAGAGTTACAAGTAGTACGGCATGTCTTATAATCATTAGCAGCTGCTGGAGTGACGACGTGTGTGTGTGTGTGTGTGTGTGTGCTGTGTTTGTACTATACGGTTTGTACATGGACTGACGATGGAAGCGTGACGGATACTGCTGAATCTAAGAGCGCGAGTGAGAGAGTAGGTGGAGAGATTCCCACCATCCAGGAGTAAATGTTATGCATGTATGCCAAATAAATAACTGACAATTATAAAATGCAACACCTTTTTTTTTTCTTTTTATACATTTTCCATATATCTAGAATTTTAAATGTGCCCTCTGCTACATTCATTTGTGATTTGCATACATTTTTTTTGTACAACGGCATCTTTCCAATCGGTACGACTAACAGCTAATTTACATATGCGGTATAAATAGTACAACTGTCTTATCATTGCAAATACACAGGGAATGCGTGGGGGGGAGTTTCACTTGATAGCTGCTCGTATTGGTATTGGACCCCTTTTTGTCTTGCCTTCCCTCCCCTGAGCCGGAGAGCCGATGCCACAGACAAAAATTAAATAAAATCAACATCCTGAGTGAGGCTAACCTCAAAAGCCCACACTGCTTTCTGTCACCCAGAACCACTCGGGAGTAGTAAAGGCAGCTGACGATAAAATGCATAAAAAGGTGTATGCTTTTGGTGTGACGCATACCCCCCTGTTGTGTTCCCTTTTTTTAAAAAATAAAAACTATATGACCTGGTGTAAAAAGGCAAGGAGTAGTAAGACTGAGGAGTGTGTCTCGCTCCGAACACGTGTATCCTTAATGGTTTGTGGAATGAAGACACTTGGTGGAGTGATCGAGAAGGGAGGTCTGCACTGGGCGGGGCGGGGAGGCGGGACGAGAGGGCGATTCAGCAGTTTCCTATCCCCGACGAGGACGGCGCCGCTGTCGAGTTGGTGCTGCTGTTCTGGCCTTTTCCTTTGTGCCTCTGGCCGCCCCGTCTCCGTCCACCACCCCCGGACTTTGGCTGCAAGAGGAGAGAAAAGACTCGATAAGGCCTCGCCTGCTCAGAAACACGCTTCTCAAAAAAACGAGGCACCACAAGCTCGCTTCATCAAACGCCATCCTCGCAACTCTCAACACGGTTTACCTTGTTCTCTTTGTTGCCCTCCTTTATTTGAGGGTCATCATCTCCCTCTCCCTTCAGAGGCAAGCAGAAGAGAGGGCGAGAGTGCAAAGGAGTGATGCGCAAGTTAGATGAAAGAAGTCAGAGTTAGAAAGGAAAAGCAGCGTTAGTGCAAGTACCCAGCAAGAGGCAGGAAATCCAGAGAAACACAGGAAGAGCACAACCACGCACAATTTGCACAACGCCGTATGTTTTCGGCTTTATTTGTCGACTGGTGACTCACCGGCTGTGTCGTGTTGGGGCCCGCTGGCTGTGCTATCGTCGCCGCGTCGTCGCCGGCTGCCACGGTGCCGTCCTCTTTTCGGAGCGGTGCCTTTTTTGTAGACTGCATTTTGATTTGTGGAGGTTTGGAGTTTGATGGCATGTTATTGGTGGATTGCAACAGCTGGAGAAAAAAAAAAAGGAGCTAGTTGTGAAATAATACAAGAAGTTCTGCATCTCAGTCTGAAGTCATGTCTGGAGTTAAAGTCTCAC